GACAACTAAAAATATATAGAAAAAATTAGCCGGGCATGGTGGCGCATGCCTGTAGTCCCAGCTACTCCAGAGGCTGAGGCAGAAGGATCGCTTGAACCCAGGCGTTTGAGGTTGCTGTGAGCCAGGCTGACGCCATGACACTCACTCTAGCCCGGGCAACAGAAACGAGGCTCTTTTTTTTTTTTTTTTTTTGAGACAGACTATCAGTTGTATGTTTGCCTCTAGAATGAAGAAGGTTGGAGGAGAGCAGTGTGGGAGAAGAATATGAAAATGATTGAACTGCACAATGGGGAATACAGCCAAGGGAAACATGGCTTCACCATGGCAATGAACGCCTTTGGTGACATGGTGAGTGTGGTGTGGATGGCTGAACTCTAGGCTTCCTCTCCTCAGTTCTTTACCAAAATAATCACTTGCTTTGCAACATTTTATTTACTTTTCCTTGAAGACCAATGAAGAATTCAGGCAGGTGATGAATGGCTTTCAGAACCAGAAGCATAGGAAGGGGAAAGTGTTCCAAGAGCCTCTGTTTCATGAGGTCCCTAAATCTGTGGACTGGAGAGAGAAAGGCTATGTGACTCCCGTGAAGAATCAGGTGAGACGCTGTCAAATTCAGACCTTCCGTCTCCCACAGGAAAGCCAAGAAAGAATTGGTGTCATTGCTTTGGTAGACTGAGGAGTGACATGCAGTTTCCTGTTTTTTTTTTTTTTTTTTTTTTAAGACTGTTCAGATATATGGCCTATTGTCAGTTTTGTATTTGTCTTGTAAACTGACAGATTTTTTTTTATTCCCTTTCCAGGGTCGGTGTGGTTCTTGTTGGGCTTTTAGTGCGACTGGTGCTCTTGAAGGACAGATGTTCAGGAAAACTGGCAAAATTGTCTCACTGAGTGAGCAGAACCTGGTGGACTGCTCTCAGCCTCAAGGCAATCATGGCTGCGATGGTGGCCTGATGGACTACGCCTTTCAGTATATTAAGGAGAACGGAGGCCTGGACTCTGAAAACTCCTATCCATATGTGGCAAGGGTAAATGAAGCCTCTTATCTTCTTGTCATTTCAGCTCTGCATTTGGAAAGTTGAATATTTTGAAAGATAAGACACCTTTTTCAGAATTCACATTTTATCTCTGGTCAACTCACTTACTAAAAGAAAAAAAATAAAAATTAAAAAAATTCACATTTTAGATGGTACAATCTATATCTGCAAACTCTCTGTACAGATCAGTTTTCTGATTAGATGGTTTATATTGAGCTGTTCTTCTGTGTAACATGGAGAATAAGCAAACCATTCTAAATATAGCAGAAATTTCTCCATGGTGAAAAATTTCTTGTGGACAGGTCGACCTAGGCAGTCTCATTGAAGAAACATCAGCTAATTTTTCAGTTTCAACTCGACTAATAAGAGTTCACTTCCTGAGATGATTTA